TTGCATGCTGTCTACCCAGGTTCAATCCCTGGCATCACATACTGTCTCCAGGGTCCCACCAAAGTGATCCCTGAGCTGAAAGGCTGGGATAGGTCCTCAATACAGCTAAGTATGGCCTCAAACAAAAACAACACAAGGGGCTGGAAAGACATTACAGTAGGCAAGGTGCTTGCTTACCATGTGGCTGAGTCTGGTTTGATCTGCTGCACCACATATAGTCTCCAGGACACCACGAGGAGTGTCACCTAACCCAGCATAATCCCTCAACACTGCCAGGTACATCCACAGGGGTATGGTGCTTGCCTTGCCAGCAGCTGGGGTCAATCCCCTTAGCATCCCCCTCCCCTAGTAACTCCAGGAGTAACTCTTGAGTGCAGAGCTATAAGTAACCCAAGAACAGCTGGGTGAGGCCCCAAAACCAACTAGCCAAAACCAAAAAGTCAAACCACATAGCATAATGGCTAAGGTGCTACCCTTACACAGAGACCACCAGGTTCAATTCCTAGTACCACATGGTCCCCTGAGCCCAACTAGGAGTGATCCCCAAGCACAGAGCCAGGAATAAGCCCCGGTATAGCCAGGTGAGAGTCCAAAATAAAACAAATTAAGTTTAAAACAACAAAGAACTATTAAGATACATAAAAAGTGAAAAGAAAATAGTTTGATTCCTTTACATAATATTGATTTTTGGAAAGATCTTAGAACCAGTGTAGGCAAATTTTGAAATAATGGTAAATTAAGTCAAAATTTAGAAATTTAAACAAAAATAAAGAAAAGCACTGAGAGCCTTTCCTTTTCTTTAGGTTTAAAAATTAGATGCAGGTTCTAATAAAGGCTGAAACTAATTTACTTTGCAAAATCATTTACCTTGGCTAAAGAAACATTATTTAATCGTTGAACTGCATTGGCAGCCCCTCTGCTGGGGCAACTGACATGGTTAACAGAATGGCTAATTCCATTTGCATTAGTTAAAACAACAACAACAAACAAAAATCAAAAACACCAACAAGCAAACTATGCCCACAAATGTACCCAATTAACGATGGATGATTTCATCAAAAGGCAGTTGAAACAAGAAAGAGTAACAGCAGCAGTCAATACTTACACAGTGTTTAAACCTACTACTTGGTGACCATCTAGCTAGTCTCCTTTCACTCTTGAGTCTCCTGACAAACAAGCAGTAACTCAACTTTTGAAGTGCTCTACACATATTATTACACTTCACCCTTAAAAAACAGACCCATCAAGTGTATATTAAGTTCCTTTTATAAATGAATACCGTCAATTCTTGTTCACAGGGAAAATACACTCATTATTAGAATTCATAATACGGTTCCATTATTGTCACACTGTTCACAGGCATAGTAAATGCCATTATTTCGATTTTTATTTTGGGATGGGGATTGTAGCTCAGATGCAAAACAACTGCACGTGTGAGCCTCTGAGTTTTGTCTACAGACAAAAATGCATATATCCACGCATTATGCTGGAGGAAAAAAGGAAAAAAACTGTTTAGACCAGTAAGTTCCACGGAATGAAATGTATAGCCATAGCCTTCTTCTCAATACCCCCTTTTTCCTCCCTACCTGTTGCTCCGATAATAACACTGCATCTATCCAATGTCCCTATACTGCAAAAAAGTGATTCTGAAAAGGCGTTAGAGTGAGTATCTATAGGTAACAATGCCTTCCTCCCACCCCCTGAGATAAGGCAGTTCCTCAAATTAACCAACGTGTCATTTCACTGCTTGCAAATAATGAGTTTCTCCTCCAGGAGCTCCCAGTCCAACTGGACAGGCAGAGCCACAGATGAAGAATACACGAGGGCACAGTATCTTCGAAGGCACCTCAAATTCGTAAGAGACCATCAGCGTCGTCTAATTGGTTATAGGTACCAGTACGCCCCAAAACTTTTCAGTGTAACTGAGACATGGGGGCTGTCCACTTCTTAGTCTTTTCACTGTCAACGCACTCATCCAAACCCACCTCACCTCTCACTTGGAATTCTCCTTAGCGTCCCTCGTTTCCTTTTGTTCTCGCCTTCCTGGAATTCATTATACAGAGCACCTCAGATTTATCCAAAAGAGGTATCCCTTATTCTGCTTAAAATTTTCGATCCTTCTCACGTGCTAACAGAAAACTATCTCCATTTCCATAGCCAGCAGCGCTCCCACTGAGCTTCTGCATCACACCCCTCTTCTTCCCTAAAGGGAACAGTGCTTGTTTTCACCTCTGCATTATCTGCCCTGCTTTCCTGAGCTCTTCATTCGATTAATTCCTTCATACCTCACTTTGCAAAGACTATACCTGATCACCCTATTTTAAGGGAACGATAGCAGCCCTGTCTCATTATTTTTTGTCATCTGAATCAAGTTTATTCCCTATTTTAATTTCAGAATTTATGTTACTCAGATATTTTTTCATTTACTTCGTTGCATAATGCTACTGAAGCAGGAACCGAACACCCCCCTCTATAATTTACTGTTCAACACCTTGCTCTGTGCTTAGAAACTATACACATATTAACTTATTACATTTGCCACTCACTTTTGCTTGATTTTAAGCAAAATTTAGTTAAGAAAGACCATGTTTAGCTATACTTCATCCTTTCCTCGATACGTGTTTCTTAAAAACCAAAACCAAAACCAAAAGCAAAAAAACCAAGCAAGACCTTGCTAGGATTTGAAACAGTCCAGCAGCACTACCAAACAAGCCACAAGGCCTACTATCAATTTTTAGCTTTATTTGACCGAGGAAGGACTATAAACACTACTTGAATAAACACCCCATGATCCTCAGTGCTGAGAAGAGACAAGGATGGATCACTGGTTTCTGCTCATGAGAACTCTAAAGATTTTTTTCCCCTTTTAATTTTTAACTCAGAACCAATTTCTTGTCCTGAGTGTCTTATGCTACGTTCGCCTCTTTCATGAATACTGGACCACAGAAGAGCCAGAGGAGACAGAGACCATGGCCAATCTCTCCATGGACTAGTGCAGCAACAAGAGATGCTTGCTTTCCCCTCCATTCTCACTTCTACACGTCTCTATCCCTGTCTCAACATTCCTTTGCCCCATCTCCCCACTCTTGTTTTACTTTTGATTTCTTATTATGGTAAACTGCCTCAAATACTTCCCGGAACTTGTCATATAAGTAAGTAAGCATTAAAATCTAGCAGCACAAAATACTGCTGCTAATAATAAGTTAACGACCAAATGGCCCAAAGGAGATGAAGGTGAAGTTGAGGTTGGTCATTAAGAAGAAATACAGACACCAGCAAAAAGGACATGGAATGCCGATAAAGAAAAAAAAAAAAAAGAAGGCACAGACCTCATCAGAGTAAAGTGAAAGGACAAACAAACCAACTCTTAACATAATACTTAGTGAACCTTACTACGGTGTCTATATAGCAATGCAAAGCATGGCACTAACAGTGTAAAAGCCATGTGTCGCTTCATTGCATTCAATTCTCAAAAGTGGGGGCAATCTTGAGAACACCTACAGAAACTCCGCACAAATGAAAGAATAAGGAGAGGGCACTTAGCTCCTCTTACTTTCTTCACATAGTAACAATGTTTGTTCTCCAAGGCAAACTTCATCGAACCACCACAAACACGTTCAGACATCTCTGGCTCCTCACTTTCTAAACTCCAGCCACGGCCTGTCATCGCTGAGCTTTTCCAACTGGGGGGGGTCTTTGCACAGTTTCCCACCTGGAACACCCCCCCTATTATACCTGACTACCCTTCAAGAACAGGATCAGGAGAAACTCTGCAGGGGGGCTTCTGGTCTTGGAGAAAGGCTGGCGATCGGATGCTGCTCCCTTCCCCGGGCTAAGAGGGGCCGTCCTGGACGCTCATCACCCGGAGTGTTTCCCCCCCAGACCCCCAGACCGTAACCTCAGTGCGAGGGTGGGGGTGCGGGTGGGGGTTGTGTGCGTGTGTTTGTGGGGGGTGGAAGGGGGCCGCGGGCGGGATCTGCCTGCTGTTTCCGGACCCTAATCCCAGGCTTTAATCCAGACAAGGTAAAAACTTCAACGAGGCAAAGTTAAGATGCCCTGAACCCCTCGGCCTGGCCTTGACCTTCCTCAATCCCCACGAACCCGGGCCCGGCATCCGCCCTCCCATCCCATCGCCGCGCGGGGGTCCCAGTTCCACTTCCGAGTCCCAGCCGCGGTGGTGGTCCCTCCACCGGGCCCCCCCCGCGCTTCCCGTCCTGCGCGCCCCCTCCTCGCCCCCCCACCGCCCCCTCCGACCCGACTCGGCGCCCCTAGGCTCGGCGGTGCTCACTCACTGCCCCCACAGCCGCCCGCAACGCGACCCTACCCTCGACCCCCACCCCCCACCCCCGACCCCCCCCCAATCCGTGCGGCCCAGCTTCCTCCCCGGGACGCCGGTCGCCTCCGCCCGGGTCCCGTCCCCGGCCCGGCTCCCGCTCCGCGATCTTCCACCCCGTCCCCGCGCCTGTTCCCAGACCCCGCGCCGGCCTCGGTTTCCCCCCCGACCCTCCCGATTCCCGCGCCCGCCTCGGTTTCCCCCCCCCGCTCCTCCCGGTTCCCGCGGCCGAGACCTGCCTCGGGGCCGGGGCGTCCTGGGGGCTGCTCGTCCCCCCACCCCCACCCCCACCCCCACCCCTGAGCCCCGAGGGCCCTCGCGGGAGTCGCCCGCGGCAGGCTGAGGCCCGGGACCACCCCCCTTCCGCCCGGTCGGTGCCGACCCCCCGGACCGGGCCTCCGGCGCGCGTGTCGGGCCCGACCGGGGCTTTCCCGCGTCCGTCCGGCCTGGCCGGGGTCCCCGCGGCCCCTCGTCGAGCCCCCCCCGCGGGCCCCCGGCGCGAGCCCGTCCCGCGCGCCCCGGGCCTCCCCGGGCGCCTCCCGCCGGGCCCCCACCCCGCCCCCACCCCGCCCCACGCGTGCCGGGACCCCCGGAGGAGCCGCGCGGGCCGGGGGAGGCCGGGGGACGGCCCGAGGGGGCCCGGGGGTCGCGGGCGGGCGGGCCTCACCGTCGGTCACGGCGCCCATGGCGGCGGCTGGCGTTGGCGGCGGCGGCGTTGGCGGCGTTGGCGCTGGCGGGGGTCAAACTCCCAGAATGCAGCCGGGTAAACAGCCATGGAGGCGGCTGCGGCGGCGCCCGCGGCCGCCCGCTCCGACGCCTGAGCCGCGCCGCGCCGCCCGCGCTCCCCGCGCGCCCCGCGCTCCCCGGGGGCGCCGCGGCCGGCACGCGAGGGGCGAGGCCCGGCGGGCGGCGGCGGCGGCCCGGGAGCAGCCCCGGCCCCGCCGCCAGCGCCCGCGCCACGGCCCGCGCCGGAGGCCGCCCCGGAGGAGGCCGCCAGGTGAGCTCGCGCGGCGCCCCCGGGGTGGGGGGCGGGTGGGGGCGGGGCGGGGGTCCTGACGCCCCCCACCCTGGGGACCGCGGGCTGCCGCAGCGGCGGGGGAAGGGGCTCGTGTGCGTGTGTGTGGGGGGGGGGACCCCGACGGGCTGAGGGGGAGGGTGACGGGGGCGACGAGGGTGGCGGCGTTGGGTGGGGGGTGGGCGGCGCGAGGGGACCCGCGGGGTCGGCGCCCACGCGCGCCCGGGCGGAGCTGGGACGTGGGCGCTCCTGGCCGCCGGCCGGGTGGTTCCCAGGCGCCGGGTCCCGGCCCGCCGCGCTCGGCCCCGCTCGGCCCCGCTCGGCCCCGCTCGGCTCCCTCCGCCCCGGGGGCTCGGACGCGGGTCGGCGGGGGGGAAACTCGGCGAGCGCCGGGCCGAGCTGGGGGAGCCGAGCGGCAGCCGCCGCCCCCCCGGGGGGCCCCGCAGATCACCACGCCGGGCGCCGGCTTCGCGTGGCCCGCGGCTCGGGAAGGAACGAACGGGGGCGCGGGGGGGGAGGGTGGGAGGGGGAGGGGCCTCATCCGGGGGGAGGGGGAGGCGTGGGGGGGGCGGGGAGAGGGAAAGTCCAGAGTGGCGGGGGTCGCGGGGGTCGCGGGGGTCGCGGGGCGGGCGTCTCGGGGGCCGCGACGCGCGTGTCTGCGGGGCTCCTGCCTCCCTCCCCGCCGCCCCCCTCCCCGCCCCCCACCCCACCCCACCCCACCCCATCCCGCAAAGCCCCTCTTGGACTTTGATGAGTTTCGCGTCCCCGGCCACCTGGACGCGGTGGGAGGCAGGAGGGGGAAGGTCGATTGGCCCGTCGGCCGCCCCCGCAGCCTGTTCGAACTCGGGTGCCCGGGTCTGAGGGTTTGTCGCCGAGCGGCCCCGGATTGGGTTTTCTCCTTTTTAACCCCCAACCCCCGTGGTGCTTCTCCCGCTTCCTCCCCGAAAAACGACCCCGCCTCGATGAAACTGTTCCTGTGCGTTGGATTTCAGTTGTTGCAGTTTTCTTTCCGAAGTTGCTTTTATTCCCCAAATTTCCTCTCCGTTTCTTTTTCTTTTTTTCATTTTTTTTTGGCAGAGTTCTAAAAACAGATGTTTGATAGTATAGTGTGTGTATTTCACCTGGGGGTGCGGGGAGGGTCGGTGAGTATATGTAAAATTTATTTTCATGCACAGGAAGTTGGGATGCTCCCGCACTGCTCTTTAAGAGTGCTCACGAGAGTTAGCTAAGCCTTTGACTTTTGGTACAAAGGCTTGGGGAGACCTTGGGTGTTAGCTAGTTCCACCCCCAGAGTGCGAAACCTCCCCTGACTTGGATACTGTCTGAAAGGGGTGGCTGGGACTGGGAAGCAGACCCGCACATTTTTCCTGGTTTATTGAAGTGAAGACTTGGTTTAAAAGAAGAGATCGCGTTAGGGGGCTGGAGGGAGAGCGCGGCGGGGTAGGGTGTTTGCCTTGCAGGGGGCCCACCCAGGTTCTATGACCCGCATCCCATATGGTCCCCCTGAGCACTGCCTGGAGTGATTCCTGAGTGCAGAGCCAGGAGGAACCCCTGTGCATCCTTGGGTGTGACCCAAAAAGAAAAAAAAAATCATTTTAGATTTTTTTTTGTTTTGTTTTCGGGCCACACCCGCTGGTGCCCCGGGCTTACTACTGCTCAGTGCTCCAGGCTTACTCCTGCTCTGTGCTCAGGGATCTCCTGGTGAGGCTCAGAGACCAAAGGGGGTCTTGGGAAAAGAACCTGCCTCAGGACCAAATACGCAAATACCCTACCTGCTGACCCGCTGATCCATCCCTATGGCTGTTTTTTTTTTTTTTTTTTTTTTTTTTTTTGGAGGCCAGACCTGAAAATTTTCAGCACTCACTTCTGGCTCTGTGCTGGGAGATCATTCTTGGTGGGCTTGGGACGGACATTTGTATAAGGTATGTGGTCTGGAGAACTAACCCAGTCTGTGCAGGCAAGACAAGCAACTCACCAAGAATTACCTAATGTCAAGGTAAAAATAAAATTAAGTTAGTACAACTGTATTGGTGAAAGTGTCTTTTGTCTATCCCAGGTTTCGTTTTGGTAAGGATCATTGCTGTAGAAGGTAATTACCAAGAGCTGAATTGTTCCTTTTACTTGTTTTGTTTTGTTTTGTCTTGTCTAGTGGGCCACACTAAAGGTGTTCAGGGTTTATCCCTGGCAATATGCTCAGAATCTTCTCACTCCTGGCAGGCGTGGGTGGGGATGTAGGACACATCCTTCGAGGCACTCCTGTCATCCAGCCCGGCTTGGATGTAAGGCAAGATCTTTAATCCTAAATTGCCCCTTGTAAGTTGTGTGATACTTTGCCTTGTCATAATACTGATTTTTGAACAGTACTGACTTAATGTTTAAAGTTGTGTAAGGTGAAGTATCATGACCCTCCCCTCCCCCCATAACCGCTGAATTTTTTACTTTGGGATTTTGACTTTTGTTGTTTGGAAGGGGGCACACCCTACCGTGTTCAGCAGTTACTTATTCTCCGTGCTCTGGGTGGTTCCTGGTGTGTTCAGGACAGTGCAGTGCTAGAGTCGGAACAGAGGCTTCCTGCATGCAAAGTATGTACTTTAATTCATCAAACTATCTCTCTGGTCCTGTTAATTTGTGTGTGTGTGTGTGTGTGTGTGTGTGTGTGTGTCTGGTGTGGGGGCACACTCCGCAGTGCTCAGGCTCAGACTGTGCCCTCAGGGATCACTGCTGGAAGGGTTGGGGGTCATACAGCATGCCGGGGATCAAACCTCGGTGAGCTGTGTGCAAGGAAAATTCGTTTACCGTCTGTACTATCTCTTCGGCCCTTGTTAAATTTTTATGAGACATTCCATCAGTTGTTTAGAGAGGAATCCTGGTTTAATGCTTGTATGTTACTTTTCTGACATACAGTTTTGTTGGATGGTAGTGGACGTTTTCTCAAGTATTGAGAGATTAGTGGTGGAAGGAAAAAATTTCGCTGTTGTGACCTTCAAAAACATCTGTTTTGTGAGCCACACAATTTAACTCACAGTTGCATTGACACAGGTCTTACGTTAAACATTTTAAAATTCTTTTAATTGATCTTTCAAATCACATACAATACAAAACAATTTTTAGGAAATTAAATTTTTTAGTGAATCGAATTATACTAGCGTATTTACAAATGTGCAATTAGGAAGGATTCAAACTCTCTGCTATACTAACATTCCCTCCCTCCCTACCCCCCCCCCCCCTTGAGAATTCTCTGAGCGAAAAGGAGTTGCAGATTTTAAGTTCTAATAAAAATGTTTTATTCAAGCTGTATCAAAAACTGACCAGAACTCTAAACTTACACGTGATCATAGATTTGGTAACTTTTTCATCATAGCCTTGGTTTTTTGAGTGTAAAAGTTGAGTTTAAGGAATTTTGTTTATTATTAATTTTGTGGAACTATGAAGGATAATGATAGGGCTAACTGGTTTTTACACTGCACTGGTGAAGTGATGTAAGAATTCTATAATATGCTATTTGAGCGAGGCCTGTCCTGGAGTTTGTGGGCCCCCGGGGATCCATAAATGGACTTCCAGACATTCCTGAAACTTCATAGCTGTGACCCAAACATTTTTGGGGGTTGGTATTTTTCTGGAAAGATTGTCTTTAGTTTTCTAAACAAAATTTAGGACCATGAAAGTCAGAAATATGTTTTTTTAATCAAATAAAAGGGAAATCGTAATAAGGGAAACCATTAAGACAAAGTAGGTATTTGTAGAATTCTCCAGGCTTGCCTTTCAGAGTTGTCTTTAGCCTAGGCATATAGCCTTAGAGAGGCAAAGCACATCCATTTTGTTACTGCCATAAAAAGTTGTCTGTCAATGTATAAACCATGCACACACATAAAGGGCTACGCATGCTAGAACTCTGTGCATTATCGCCTTTTTTGAATCATAGTTGAAATATTAGACCAGATTGAAGATCAGTAAGCAGAGACCTGGTTTTGATAATCGACTTGGGAGTAAATGATTCATTTGACCCTACTCTTTTTTTACTTATTTTTCAGAAAATATGAACTTTGATTTGGAAGTAACCATTCTAAAAGAATGTGTGTGTCTTGACATGACAGTAGAGTGTGGTGAAAACTATATCCAAGTCAAAACAGGCTAAAGCTCAAAATAGTATTCTTTTATTTAGTGTAGCTACTTAACATGCCTTATTTTTTAGTTTCTCATCTGGGTAATATCCACCTAGTAGAGATATTTTGGGACTGACATCGCCTCTAAAGATGTGTGCTCATTCCTTCTTTTGGGGGCCGTCATAGACAACCCAGGATTTCATGGAGAGAAGTTAGATCTATAACTTTGGCTATCTAATTCTGTCCCTACTAGGCCAGGCAAATACACATGCATACATACACACATATTTCTTTAAATTTTAAGTGGTAAGGTAAAGGTAAAGGTAAAGGCCCTCCCGTTGATCGTCGATTTGCTCGAGCGGGCCCAGTAACGTCTCCATTGGAGACTTTGTTGTTACTGTGTCTGGCATATCGAATACTCTCGGTAGCTTGCCGGGCTCTCCGAGAGGGGCGGAGGAATCGAACTCGGGTCGGCCATGTTGGCCGCGTGCAAGGCGAACGCCCTACCCGCTGTGCTATCGTGAACTTGAAAAAGAATATACTAATAAAATGCATATAATACTCATGACCGTAAAAGTAAACTGACTTTGGTTTTTCCTGTGGTCACTCCCTTTTCCTCTCATTTATTCATTGTGAGCATCTGT